TCAATTACCTGCTTTATTGTTGCAGGTGTGAAAACACTTTTCAGTGTTTGTTAATTTCTTATTGGCAATTATTTTTTTAGCTCTTTCATCTTAATTGTGTCTGTCTCTGTATTATAAGTTAACATTTGTCCAAATATGTTGTTTTTTTATTGTATATATATAATGTTAAAGAAAGAAATGGGAAACTCATGTTAAATGATTCTTATTTTGCTTGCTTGAAATTTAATTCTTATGGTGTCATTATTAAATTTAGGTATTTCTTTTAGGCAAAAATAATAATAATAAACATCATTAATTACATATCTCAAAAGCCAATGGAAAAGTTAAATTTCAGGTGTGTTGCTTTAATTTCTAATTTTCTGAATTATATTTATGGATTTGCATAATAAAAGTACTCAAGATATTTATTGCAAAAAGATATTAACATATGACTGAGACAAAAGGTTTTAAAAGTAATCTAAAATTATTAAAACCAAGTCAGTGCTCAAATACATCGTTATTATCAATAAATATAGAAAACCTCTGAAAACCTGAATCCTCTGAAAACCGGACTTTTGGTCAAGTCCTGACAAAGTCCGGTTTTCGGAGTTTTTACTGTACCTTTAAATATTCGTAATGTTAATAACCTTAAATGTTTTAAAGAAAAATACAAAGCATATCTTGATGTTCATATGAAGGAATGAGTGAGTGAATGAATAAATGAATAAATATATGAACGAACGAATGAATGAACGAACGAATGATGCAATATACGTATATGTTTAAACAAATTGTTGAGTGTCTGTCGAAAGTATATGAGTTGTATTATTCTAAAAATTACATATTTATATACATTCATTTTTCTACCTATGCATGTCGGAAGACGGACAAAACCCCACCAGTTAAAACTCCACCACTCAAAATTTTATAGAGTGGACATAACCCCACCACTAAATTTTATAGAGTGGACAAAACCCCACCACTAAATTTTACAGAGTGGACAAAACCCCACCACTTCAGTTTTATAGAGTGGACAAAACCCCACACTTACCAATCATTGGGCAAGATTTGATGAATTAAAATATACCGTATATAATTATATATACATTTTTTTCACATTTTATTTTTTAATTTCAATATAACATGTGTGTAATATAAGAGTGAACAATTTTATTAACAATGCATGTACATCTTGCATGTGCAATATGCAAAAAAGGTGTTACAAACTGTACACAAAAAACTTAATCCAAATCCCTGAAGAACAAAACATGATAATTATAGCATATAACATTTATTTCAATAGCAATATAATACAATGAATGAGATTATACAAACAATTTACAAACTGTTAAATCAACATCAAAGAGTAGTCATTTATTTGAGACTGTGCCACATTTATGACCTTGAATTATCCATTATTATTAGTTTCTTCAAATTCATTTCTTCAATTTATTTATATAAAAAATAAACTACTTACTATTAATCAAGAATATAGCACATTTTCATCAATTAATGATTAAAAATAGCACATTTTGTATAGCACATTTCTAGTTTATTCAGTTGAGTCTATTTTCCTTCATTGTACTTAGTTTAAGCGGATACAGTGGCCGATAGCCTGAAGAAACTCAGGTACAGTCTTTTCCTTATTGATGAGTTGTCACACATTCTTTTGAGTTTCTGCTGATGCACAATTGTTTTGTTTTTTTTAACATGTTTACAAGTAAGTTTTGTCGACTATAAAACTGAAGTGGTGGGGTTTTGTCCACTCTGTAAAATTTAGTGCTGGGGTTTTGTCCACTCTATAAAATTTAGTGGTGGGGTTTTGTCCACTCTATACAATTTTGAGTGGTGGGGTTTTAACTGGTGGGGTTTTGTCCTACATTCATGCATGTCCTGTTGTTGTTGTTGTTTTCTATTTCAGAAGGCCACATTGGAAATAAGATATATATGATTGTTATTGTATGTTCTTAATGTGTAACCTTCTTTAAATAAAGATATTATTATTATATTATTATTATTATTATAGGCCAATAGCAAAAATACCCCAGAGCTACTACAAATAGCGTTTAGCTAGGTTTTCGAATTGATGAATAATAAATGTTTGTACTCTCGCAGAAAAAAAAAATATGTTTTTATTCAAAAGCTTCTATCAAATTAGCTTAAGGTCTTCAGCTTACCTGTTTACATTATATAATACATACATGGCGTGAACGATGAAGATAACCCTGTACAGCAAGTTCACCAATAATCGTGTCAGGAATCTGACACGCTCGTATTTATTCATCGAACATGCCATGAAGTAAAGTGAAGCATACCTTGATAAAACTTTATATAATCTGTTGATAAGCCAAAGATGGAGAAATAAAATTCGTATTACGAACATGTAACAGGGTCTTATTTTTAAGATCAGGTCTAAGGGACAATACTCTTGCTTAACTGTTGGATTGTATAATTTTGCAAAGGGAGACAAATCTGTCGGTCTTGTCTGATACCTTTCAAGGGAGATTACTCTATTGGTTTTAACTGATTTTATCGTATGTTTACATTGGTCAGTATTCTAAGAATTCAAATGATTGGTTCACGGATCGTTGGTTTTAAGCTGTTTTTATGTCATGTGATTTCTTGGTGGGAAAAAGTCATTGTGTCTTTGTTATGTTGTAAGGGGAGAGGTTAGAAAAGTTAGTGTTTGTGGTCAAGTTCTTTATTTCATAAGTTGGTATGTATTTATCCTGACTGCTGCTAAATGCTTTATTGTAAATATGTAGAATTGCATTATTGTGATTCTGTTGTATTTTGGTTCAGTCCATTGATTGTGAAATTTGTAAATAAGTATGAGTTTCAGAATGACATGTATCTATCAAATCACCTTTCATCTTTTATTCACTATTAATATTAAACCTTGCAGTTAACAGTCACTGGTGTGATAGTCAGAGCATAGGAACTCTGGAACAGGACCGCATATTGCGGCGCATAAATCCAAATCCGTACCAGCTTTACATTTAGTTTGTCCGACCTTTGAATATATTTTCATATTATGCGAGCGGGTGGTCTTTAATTATCTTATCTCAATTTAATATAATCTGCTAATTTAAAAATCAGTCAAATTAACGGTATATTGAAAAAAGAAAAGGAGTGACATCCACCATTTGCCGCAACGTTCGACACGAGTTATCCCCCTTCGGCTTCGCTTGATTACTATTTTTTTGTAGAACTTGTTCTCACCAACTAACCAATACCGGAAAGGATAGCTGCTGTTTACACGTTTTTGCCGTATATTGCACGTGGAAATGGATAAAACAGATTCTATAGCCACATGGTAATAAATTCTAAAGTATTATTATAAATGTTAAAATTTAGTTATTTTATTTATTTGAAAAGACTTTTTACGTGACTTTATCCACCTTATGATAAATGTGAACAAAATTGAAAAGTTAGATGAGAATATGAACGAAGTGGTCCATATGTGGACATGTACTTCATATCTGTCATAAAAAATGATTATAATAGCATTTGAAAATTTACATATTAATTAATATGCAATGATTTGGTTGGAGCAGAATTCATAGGATCTGAAACAAAGCTAGAAACACTAACAAATTTCATTTAGTGATCCATATGTGGACATGTGCTCCATATGTATAATGAAAAAAAATACAAGTTGAGAATTTACATTTAACTTTTTGAGTTATTACTTTGTGGTGGAAATTACAAGATTGCTTTTAGATATGACAGGATCTTAAAGTATATCTTGCATAGCGATCTTTTCATCACTTAGGCAACTGCTGACAAACAGCATCACAAACAACACAATGTGATCTCCTTGTCCATGACTTATTCCAAAGTAGTAATTGGATAGCAAGTCGGTTAATTTGTCTAAAATTGAAAACAGTGGAAAGGTCAATTGATATTTGAAGCAACAAAATCCAAATAAACTTTATAACAATAATATGGAGACCTTCAATATTGCACATCTTGTGTTAGAGCTCTCTTATTTCTTGCTTGTCAATGATCATGTCTATAGTTTGCAGTGTACTTATTACACATTTCATGCCAGTATCAGTCCTCTTTTATATCAGATAGAATTAATGGTAGCTACTGTTTACATTGGTGCTAGAAAAACATGTCGTACACCCCCATGTACGTAAGACAAGTAAGGTGTTTAAAATGATATCATTCCCATGCGCCTTTTATGAATAAATTGCCTTCTAAAGTGACATCATTGTTACTAATGAATAAACATATCAATTCACATGCCATTGTAAGAAAGAAGTGCTAAATGAAAATAATAGTTTTTGGAACCTCTTTTTGAAATATCCCTAATTTGTAATATGCAAGACAAAGATTTAAACCCTGCTGTCTACACAAAAGACTAGATTTCGGACAACTGTTTAGCAGAATTTGAGTCTGCAGAGCCTCATTACTGCCTTAAACAGTAACCCTCAAGCTAGATATTCTGGTCTTTACCAGGAGCGTTTTAAGATATAATAATATCTTACCTTAAAATATTGTATTACAATAATATATATGAACCACGTTTTTTTTTTCTAAGGCATGTTTTTCTAGCACCGGTGTAAACAACAGAGGCTGTAAGATCCTTATACAAATTTATTATTGTATTACAGACATATAATGATAGGAAATATATATTCTTTTTCCATTTTGATTTGGTTAAATGTAACTTAACCTATAGCTCTTCAGCGCTTCTTATGTAAAATTCTTCCAAGTATAATTTCCAATAACCGTAAATTATACCATACCCAGACTATGGTATAATTTTCAGTTTTGAAGATCGAAGGAGTAAGTGTTTCTGGGCGGAGCTATAGGTTAAAACAGATACACCATTGGTGCGTTGACGATTTCTGGGTTTGCGTAAATTATACCATAATCACGTGACCTTTCTTATGCAACCTCACTCGACTTCGTCTCGTGAGGTTAAGGCATAAGAAAGGTCACGTGATTATGGTATAATTTACACAAACCCAGAAATTGTCAACGCAGCAATGGTATATCTATTACTTAACTGTAAAGGACATATGACAAAATTTAAATTTTACCGGAGCGAGGTAAAGTGAGGTGCCTGTCCGGACACATATCAAACTGTCACCCAGGTTAGAACCACTGACATTCTGTAAGCTAGATATATCAAGGTTTCTAAAATGCCAAAACTGGATGTGAAACGCACAGGGGATTAGGATAAAGAACTTTGTGTAAACAACCTTTACCACTATGTCATAGAAGCCCCTGAACCTCATATGGATAACTCAATTACTCTTTAGCAAAATTTAACTTTTTCAGTGTACATTACAAGCTATAACTTGTTTTTATGAAAATTACAAAACCTGTATATTGTGTCTATCTATATAGTTAAAATGTTTGCTGTTCTGCCCCCATAGTTCAATGAAGAGGGCATTGAATTTGATTTCTACGGACTAATATTTTATTTCTTGTTGTTTTTTTGGTGGCACTTCCACAGTGACAGAATACATGTAGGTCATATGGAGACTTTTCAGTTTTAATGGTAGTGGAAGAACTTAGGGGTCCTTCTGTGAATCATTTAAAAAGGAGTACCTAAGTAAAACCATGGACATTCTTTAAAATAGCTCTGAAAGAATTCAAAGTCTCTGTCAGGATTTGAGCCAGGACTTACGTGAGGCGCAAATGGTTTAATCTTCAGAAAATGCAAATTCTCTGTGACAATTCATCTCAGACATTGACTGACACTCCCTGCTGTGGGATAAATAGCCAGGTGCAGAGAGATTAATAATTACTGATTACTTTAGCAGAAAAGCTTAAGTTTCGTGAACTGACTGCCAAGTCATGAATAGAAATGTGTTGAAATAATAAAAATAAAAAACAATGCAAACAATCTTTACATTTTTCTTAATGTCATCATTTTATATTAAGCAAAATGTGGACTTGATTATTACACCAAATGAATATATATGAAACTAAATACGGTAAAAACTTATGAACAAAAATGTCAGCTTTACCTACAGTATTTATAAAACATATGAGCCGTGTCACGACAAAACCAACATAATGGGTTTGCGACCAGCATGGATCCAGACCAGCATGCACATCCGCGCAGTCTGATCAGGATCCATGCTGTTCGCTATCAGTTTCTCTACTTGTTATAGGGTTTGTAAGCAAATAGCATGGATCATGATAAGACTGCGCCGATGCCCATGCTGGTCTGGATCCATGCTGGTCGCAAACCCATTATGTTGGTTTTGTCGTGACATGGCTCATATAATTGTTCTGCTTTTTTCTGTTTTATACATGTCACTTACTATTTACACCACACCATCACACTGTAAATTGGAATAAATATATCTGTTGTATGATTAACCTAAACATGCAAACAAATATTGTAAAAAATAATACAGATGTTTCAATATAGGTCATAAAATTTAATGCCAAGATTTTCTTAGTACCAGCAATTCCAAAAGAAATTATCCATCAATGTATTATCCATATGTATGTTTTCACAATTACTAGTACTCCTTATCACAAAGCTAGTGTTTGACACACACCTTAAGTAACCCAAACATAAAATATTCTCTACAGATACATGCATCAATGAATTGGTTATATAAAGGAAATATGAAAGTGACCAATATAAATCTATTCTTTTCAATAAGGGGGTCCAGTGCAAATGTTATTGTTTTTAAAAAAGTATAATTTTCTTTAAAGGGATACTCAGGCAAAATAATGACAAAAATATGAAACTGATCTTAGGTACTGAAATCACACTAGAATGACATTTCTTAAAGTTACAGGATGAATTTCTGTTTAAATCTATATATTTTAGGTTTAACGCGTAAATATATCTATTTATGCTGAACAAAATTTAGACGCCAATAGAATAAAACAAGTCATGTGACTTGAATAAACCCTTGAAGTTACAAAAACAGGTATTGTGGATATTGTATGATTGAAACAAATCGAAAACATTCATTTGACATGTTTTTAACGTTTCCAGTTCACTTTGACGACGATGATGAAATCCTAGCTCTGTAACCTGACCCACGCAGGTCATGTCAGGAAACCACCATTTTATATGGAGAAAAAAGTTGTTCCTTTGACTGTGTAATGTATTCATTTTGAGGGCATTTACAGAATAATGAATGAAAAATTCAAAACTAAGAAATGAAAATTTTGCCTGTGTCTCCCTTTAACAAGAGGGCCCCTTGATTGCTCCCCTGAGAAATAGGTCAAAAGGTTTAACTGGAGCCCCTTTCACCCCAGAAGAAACAGGGGAAAAAACAGGATTTACAGTACATATAAGGAAAATCAATTACCCCTTAGGCCGAGCCAATTTTGACCCTAGAGCTTTCATTTTAACAAACTTGGTAGACATCCACTAAATGATGTTTTATGCAAAATATCTAAGCTCTAGCTCTTTTTAATTTTCACAACAACTCTTTTAAGTTTTAACTATATACATGTTTATATATAAGGAAAATCAATGACCCCCTGGGGCCCATTTGAAGATGTTCCATGTTATATATCTAAGCTCTAGTTCTATGGGATATTTAAAAGAAGATTTTTAAAGTTTTTACTACAGACATATAAGGAAAATCAGTACACCCTGGACAGGGCCAATTTTGATACTAGGGCTTTTATTTGTATAAACTTTGTAGAAATTCAAAAGAAGATGCTTTATGCTTAATATTCAAGCTCTAGCTCTTTGACTTTTTTTGAAGTTTTTACTATATACATATAAAGTAATAATGACCCCCCACCCCCGGCAGGGCCTATTCTTACCTCAAAGCTTTTATTTGAACAAACATGGTAGAGACTCATTAAAAGATGTTTCATGCCAAATATCTTAGCTCTAGCTCTTTGGGGTTTTTCAAAAGAAAGGTGTTCTGCAAGGAATTAAATTTTTTGAACAATTTTAAAGGTGACCACCAAAGAAACATCACTGTGAAGTTTGGATGAAATTGGCTTAGCAGTTGATCAGGAGATGTTGTTTAAAGTAAAAGTTAATGGACGCCGGATGGACACTGACGAAAAGTTTTCACAAACGCTCACCTTGTCACTTTAGGACAGGTGACCTAAAAATTCAACAACATATACTCATTGTATTTGCTATAGAAACAAGTCAGGGCTTGCTATTATAATCACATTATAATGTAACTTACTTAGCTCTTTGAGTAACTTACTTAGCTCTTTGAAGGTGCACACCTGAACTTTAGAACAATATATCTTCAAATTTCAAACATCAATTATACATTTTGCAGTAAAAACAATTTACAAATATTTACTTTCCATCTTCCCATTATAGTTACATTATGCCAATCCAAGGGCATAAAATGAGTGAACAGGTGAATATGAAAATAAGTTCTCATTTTACCATAATTCCTTTTAATTTAATAATGTTCTTCCCATTAACAATAAATAATGCACAGATCCGAAAAATAATTTAAATACCGTATTAGAATTTACCTCTAATGCTCAGTTTATAAAATGAGGAAGGCAGTCTTTTTATATTTTAGGCAGATTTATAATTTTATCCTGAACGTTTTCCAATATCAACTCTTGGTCAAACATCATTTTAACAGTCAATCTTTTGAAATATAAAGTCAATTCAGCTCAACTGAACTATGAAAATATGAGCATAATTTCACTTTAAGTTAGAATCTGACATTTCTATAAAAACTTCATCTTGATTAAATTTTTTTCTTCTACAAATATAAGTAACATTTAAAAATTAACAAAAAAATATAAAATATATAAATCAAAAGCAAAAATGCTTAGCAGTACTAGATATCTTACAATTTTCAGATATAAAAGTCAATATTTTTTTTTTTAAAATGGCAAATAAAAATGAATAATTCATAGCTTTAAAGGTGACCACCAAAGGAACATTCCTGTGAAGTTTGGATGAAATTGGCTTAGTGGTTTATGAGGAGATGTCATTTAAAGTAAAAGTTCACAGACTGATGACTGACGGACGGACGGATGACGGACGGACGCCGGACGAAAAGCGATTACAAAAGCTCACCCGGACATTTTGTGACAGGTGAGCTAAAAAAATAATTGAGAAATAAAATTAGTAGCATTTTTTAGGCATAATGGCCTTTAAGTAACTAATTATAAATTAAATTATACATATCATTCCAAAAATAGGGAACTCAGCAATACTCAATGTGCATATTTCTTCATTAAGTGACTATTTTACTCCAATTTACCCATTCAATACATCACATTACAAGAGAATATAATTCCCCCTTTAAGCATAAATTAAATTCCCCTACTGTTTTTTAAAGTCCATATTTGTGCATCTTAAAGTCCATATTTGTGCACTTCCTAGGTGAATTCATGTTATTGCTGGAAAGTCTGATATAATACTTTTTTCTATTTTTACTCTGCAGGTTGAAAAACAATGTGGAATGCTGTGAAACTGGCTGCCTATATCTATGTGACCTAGAAAGAAAATTGAGAGGTCAATTTACTGCCACACAAATTGGAAGAGCTATTCCTCATGAGTTTTCCAACATTAAAGTGAAAATTGTAAGAACTAAAACTTACTGGAAAAGGTTTACAAAACAATATATTGGTTTACAATTCAAAGACAAAACCTCAGAAACTTCACTGATTGCCAAAGGACCTTGTGAGACAAAAACATATGATAATGAAGATGAAATTTTGATTTCTTTATCAACAGAAGACCACACAGACATGTTAATGTATTAGAGAAAATTAAAAATGATGAAAACATACCCGAAAAAATGATGATTTTAATAAAGTCTCAACTTCTTTCTGCTCAGCTTGGCAAAAAACATAATAAATGGGATCCACAGATCATCCGTTTGTGTTTAACATTATACTGTTGATCACCACAGGCATATCAAGACTTGTCAAGTAGTGGTTTTCTTCTATTGCCATCTAAATGACAAATACAGAGATATAAGAATAGAGTTGATCAACAAGTTTGTATTTCCAAAATAACTTAAAATGGATGCTGTCTGAGGCCAAAAAAAGATCATTGAATAGAGATGGATATGAGGGTGGATTACTTGTTGATGAAATGACAATCCAAGAAGACATTCAGCTAAAAAAGAGAGGAAATGAATTTGAAATTATTGGTTTTGTTGAATGTTGTGATGAGTCAGTCTACATGAATAAACTTATGGGAAAATCTGATTTAAAAATGGCTACACATGTTTTACAACTTTTGTTTTTGGGAATTACTGGTTTCCGTTTTCCAGTTGGACACTTTGCTACTTTACAAACAAGCCCAGCAGAATTGTATTCAATTTTTAGGGAAGCAGTAAAAATGTTAGGAGTTTTTGGTTTTACTGTACTATATGTTAGTATGGATGGTGCCCAAAATAATAGACTTTTTATGAAAATGCTACTGCCTGGAAATGAATTAAATTCTATTAAAATGAAAACAATGAAAATAAGAAATATATATGACCAGAATAAACCAGACATTTGCATTATCATGGACTATTCCCATTTAATGAAAAATATTAGAAACTAGAAATGTGTCATCATGCCACGGATGCCCCCGCATGCAGCCAAAATTTCAGATGGTGCATTAATTATTTTTTTCATTTTAAGTTCAAAGCCCTTAAAACTTTTCAATGTTAACACAAACCATTTTCATACAATGTTCAAGGCACTGAAATTATTCAGTCTTAACCTTTTAAAAATAGCATATTGCATATTTGTAGCCAAAATAATGGCTAAAAGTATGAGTGCTGAAACTGAAAGTTCAAAATTTTTTCAACATTCAGGAAAGATAAGTTTGTCTAAAATCATTGAACCACGACCAAATTCAAACTTAAACTGCTTATTCCTAAGATGTATCTATATTATTTTCAAAGTGAAAGGGACATAACTCTGCCAAAAAATCATCAAACCATGACCAAATTCCAACTTGACCTGCCCATTCCTTTGACATATCCATATGTCAAATTTAAGTTAAATATGTAACTCTGTTGGGTAGATAATGAACAGAAACTGTAAATTTCATATTATTTTCAAAGTGAAAGGGGCATTACTCTGCCAAAAGTCATTAAACCATGACCAAATTCGAACTTGGCCTGGGCATTCCAAAAACGTATCCATATGTCAAATTTCAGTTGAATGTGTTGTACCATTGGGGAGATAATAAACGGAAACTGAAAATTTCATATTACTTTCAAAGTGAAAGGGGCATAACTCTGCTAAAAATCATTGAACCACGACCATATTTGAACTTGACCTGCGCATTCCTTTGACACATCCATATGTCAAGTTTGAGTTAAATGTGTTGTAGCTTTGGGGAGATTATGAACAGAAACTGAAAATTTCATATTATTTTCAAAGTAAAAGGGGCATAACTCTGCCAAAAATCATCAAACCATGACCAAATTCAAAAATGACCTGTATTTTCTCATGACATATCCATATATCAAGTTTGGGTTGAATGTGTTGTACCGTTGGGGAGATAATGAACAGAAACTGAAAATTTCATATTATTTTCAAAGTAAAAGGGGCATAACTCTGCCAAAAATCATCAAACCATGACCAAATTCGAACTTGACCTGTATTTTCTCATGACATATCCATATGTCAAGTTTGAGTTGAATGTGTTGTACCGTTGGGGAGATAATGAACGGAAACTGAAAATTTCATATTATTTTCAAAGTAAAAGGGGCATAACTCTGCCAAAAATCATCGAACCATGACCAAATTCGAACTTGACCTGTATTTTCTCATGACATATCCATGTTCTTAAGATAATGAACGGAAACTGATGATGACGGAATGACAGAATGACGGAAGGACGGAAGGATGGAAGGACGGAAGGATGGAAGGACGGAAGGACGGAATGACGGAACAGGGTAACACTATATGCCCCGGCCATTACATGGCGGGGGCATAACAATATATCTAAGAGTGGCAATACCAACAAACATACTAAACATTTGATGTACAAGGGTAAAGACATTTTTTGGGAACACTGGTGTAAAGCTTACCTATGGGACACAAGCAACAATGCATTAAAAATTTATCAAAAGCTTACTAATGATCACTTTTTTTTAAATCCACAGCTTAAAATGAGAAATGCTTTAGCTGAGGATGTTTTAAATAGTGACATGCTACATCTAATGAGAAAATATCAAGAATCTCTTCCTGATCAAGAGAAGAATTCCTTAAATAGTAGTATTGAACTACTGGAAATAACATCCATACTGGTAAAAAAATTTCGCGATCAAAGACCTATCCATGAATATGCAGACCAAAGACTCAGTGAAAACAAATTACTACTATCTTGGTTCAGAACATGGGAAAATGCGGACGGCCTTTGTGAAAAAAATCTTATTTCGCAGCAAACAAGAGAAGACACAGTGTCCCTTTTAATTGGTTTTGATGAAATGTGCAAAGACAGATTTTCTAGGTCATGTGGGTCAATTATTGCCAGTTACATAAATAGTGACTCCATTGAAAATATTTTTTCTCAACAGAGAGGTTTGCATAATGGTGCAAATACAAACCCAAATCTTCTTACCTATAATCATGCAATAAATAATATAATTCTTGGTCAAACAACAGTATCAAGAAAATGTAACACTGGTGAATCAGGTGCTCAAGTGTATAGTGACCAAAGACAACCACTTAAATCTATACAATGAATGCTTGCAATGCTCAAAATAAATAATTGAAAAATAAATGAAAAAAGTGTTTTTCAAATACAGGTACCTGCAATCTTCAAAGCAAAACTGGTATCTCAAATGGTATATCTTAACTTTCTCATTGCTTCAAATTGTCTGTGTATATACAATTTCTGTTGAGGCAAACTTATTGGGAAGCCAGATGTTATACCTGAAATACATTGGTAAATGAGTTTTTCATCAACATTCAAAAATAATGTTGCATTGAAACATTCTTAGGCTATTGTATTACTTCTTAAAAGTTTAATATCTATAAAGTATTTACATTAAATGTTTGCATTTCATACTCCACAAAAGGAAATAATAATTGTACATGGACTTTAATTACAGAATTTGTAAAAAGTAATAACAACAACAAAACAAAAAAAACAACAACCTTTCAACCTTTTTGGGAAAAAAATTTAATAATCACTTTCAAAGAAAAATCATTATTTATGACAAACATGTATATCATTATTATAAATAGTTAAAGAATAAAGTCATAATGGTATTCATTAGTATACCTTAAATGAAATTACTTTTCATGATAACAATTTAAATAAATATAAATTGACATTCTGTAATAGTCCAAAAACAGAAGTATACATGTACAAATTAAAAGAAAAATAGTAAATTAAATGCTTTTATAAATTAATACATGTTAAAATATTGATGTTAATAAAATACAATTAGCATGATATCACTGTTTCTTTATTTTTTACATTATATATACAAGGGCTGTCATTGTTGAAAAATTTTAATGAACAAAGTACATATATTATATTTTAGAAATAATATATCCTAAACAGTGATTTCATCACTAAAACTGAAAAAAATCACTGTTTGGAGTTTGGATGAGCATACATGTAGCCCAACTGATATAATGATGAGCATCTAATGGCTGTACTTGATATTAAGCTAATTTGCACCTGATTTATTACCATACTTGTTTTCAGACGACTAATTTTTAATGGTTACGTCACATGTATAATGATTACGTCAGATGTACAATGTCAACTAAGATTTTATTGCATAATAACACACACTTTTTGCTCTTCTGTGTTCGTCAGGAAAAAATGATTTGTATAAATATTTCAAATTTGAATGTTTGCATGGAATTCCCTATTCTCAATGACAGCAATATCAAACACATGTACATGAATAGAGTATAATTTATGAGCCTTAAAATCATTGAGCATGTTATTTGTTAATTTTGTGCTAAATGTTTCAGGGATTTTTACATTTGGTACTGCAAATTTCTAGTGATAGATATTTTATATAAATGCTTATACATTTTTATGAAGAAAGTAGACAGTAATGATATAAATATATTACCTGACGTGGTTGACTATTTTTCACCAGCTTGCAACTACTTTTCACAGCCTAAGACTTGATATTTGGCATACAGCATAAACATCATTATTTGGTCCTATACAGTTGGATTCAATTTCAGGTTATGTAGCTCATCCAATTCCTGTTTACCAACCTAGTTAAATGGTTAATGGTGTCATCACAGCATCATGATATTAGGTATACAAATGCAACCTGGCCTATTCTTTCTTTGACCCATTTTCTTCAAAGATGTTTTGTCACTGACACATAGAGCAAAGATAAATGGTATCTTTCCCCAAAAAGTAGTTCCATTCTTCTTCATTATCCAGTCCGACACAGTCTCATTTTTTGACAAACATTCAAACAAATTTGAATCAGACAGAAGATTTTCAATAATATATTTGTAAATGTGCTTTGATTCATTCATCAATGTTACATAATTGTTAAACATTTCCTTGCTGTAGCTTCTAGAATGGTGAAAAATTCAAACACTGTGTCTGATATATTGGCTAAACTTTCACAAATATTTTGTCGGTGAGAGGTTTCTTCTAAGGTATCAATATATTTTGTTGAAGATAAAATTTCATATGCTGAAACTGTCATTTTATCCAGTAAACAGATTTGATCCATTAAATTAGCAACTTCCTGCTCCATTCCAACTGACACAATACATTCTTTCATGGATCTACATAGCCTATACCTAATTTTGGCAATACAGTATCCTGCTACAAAACTGATCTTTCCCTTCCCACCTGGTGATAACTGAGATGTTGTATCAGGAAGCACTGATAAGGAACTGTACTCAGATTGTGCTGACATTGATTCTTTGCACAACAATCTCTTTTGCATAATGAATATGACAGACATTAAAATATTGTTAGAAATTGGACATTTTAACAGGTGTTGACACTCTGTAACATATTCACTTGAACTGATATAGTTATTAAAAACATTGTAGAATTCTGTAAAATGCTTCTGTTTCAAATGACCTGGTGTGTCTGTACAGCTTTTATTATATATCTCTATATATTTCTAGTACCAATCTAAAACTTCATGTTTATGTAGTAAAATAGTCTCATAAGCTTGTCTTGCAGCATTTTCATCCGGTGTACTTTCGTAACTTTGAACATGTTTAGTAAAGATATAGTTTACTTCTAGAAATGAAGTTGATAAACAATATGTGTGGTCCCCATCAAGATTTGACGTTTTGGATTCACTGCAATAAGAGTGGTCCAATGATATCCTGTCAGTATCATAATTAGCCTTGTCAAAATTATAAATAGATCTTTCAAAGTCTTCACAATCTGTGTCTGAATAATTAGTATTATTACCTACTGTAATGTCTACCGTACCTGCATATTTACACCGACAGCATTTCAAATCTTCTGATAAATTTGCATTTATATCAGTAACAGAGTCATAAAAAGTGCTCACTTTTGATGGATGCTTTTTAACCAAAAAAGGATGATAATTAATTATTCGAAGTCCATCAGTTGACACTGCCCTTCCTACAGCCACTCCTAATTGGCCTGGGTTAGTTGCATGGTTGCAGTCAACTTCAAGGTATGGTATACTCATTCCTTGTGATTTATGTATGGTTATGGCATATGCTTTAAATTTCAGTGGAAACTGGTGTCTTTTAGCAATACACATATTTGAAACTGGATCAAACTTTGTAAAGTTAACTTTTGATAACTTAACCATTTTAAGCTTACCATTTATGTCAAAGTTCACTACCGCATTGTCTTCATTAAATTTGGATACAATTCCAACTAATCCATTGACTAGCTCTCTAGTAATATTTTTCAAAAGCATAACTTTGGCAGATACTTTTAGAGCTAATTTCTTTTGAACAATCATCTTTTTTAAGTAGAAAAAAGTCACCACTATCACTTGCTTCATATATTTTTATTTGGCCATCTAAACATTGCAACTGTTCATAATTATACAAATCTACATCCAAATTCATAGCAAACAATTTTATGGTGTTATTTTTATTTCCTGTAAAGAGTGGTCTTGATAAATTCTGTATGTAACAAGATATGTTTGTAAAACATGTATGCCCCCTGTCAGTAGCCAATAAGTCATGTGATCAGGTTATTATGCTTGACTTCTGACCCAGTGAACAAACAATTAATAAGGGTTATCTAGTATCTACTGGTCATGACTAGTCACAAGGTAATAATTATTGTGACCCTATAGGTTGTGTGCAGCAATTTAAGTTATTACAAATCTTACCAAATAATATATGCATAAATTTTATGAATCATGTAGGCCTCATTAATGACAGCTAAGTTGTTGACCCCTTGACCCCAAAATCAATAGGTCATCTGCTGGCAATGACCAATCATCATACCAAGTATGAAGTTTCTAGGCCTAAGCGTACTTTAGTTCTTGATTGGAAACTGTTTTTACCTTCAAGGTCAATGTGACCTTGACCTTTGACCCCTTGACCCCAAAATCAATAGGAGTCATCTGCTGGTCATGACCAATCATCATACCAAGTTTAAAGTTTCTAGGCCTAAGCATTCTCTAGTTATTGATCGGAAACCGTTTTTACCTACAAGGTCAATGTGACCTTGAACTTTGACCCCTTGACCAAACATCAATAGGGGTCATCTGCTGGTCATGACCAATCACCATACCAATTTTGAAGTTCCTAGGCCTAAGCGTTCTTTAGTTATTGATCAGAAACTGTTTTTACTTACAAGGTCAATGTGACCTTGACCTTTGAACCCTTGACCCAAAACTCAATAGGGGTCATCTGCTGGTCACGACCAATCATCTTACAAAGTTTGAAGTTCCTAGGCCTAAGCGTTTTTAGTTAATTGATCAGAAACCGTTTTTACCTACAAAGTCAATGTGACCTTTGAGTCCTTGACCCCAAAATCAATAGGGGTCATCTGCTGGTCATGACCAATCACCATACCAAGTTTGAAGTTCCTAGGCCTAAGGGTTCTTTAGTTATTGATCGGAAACCGTTTTTGCTTACAAGGTCAATGTGACCTTGACCTTTGACCCCTTGAACCCAAAATGAATAGGGGTCATCTGCTGATCATGGCCAATCACCATACCAAGTTTGAAGTTCCTAGGACTAAGGGTTCTTTAGTTATTGATCGGGAACCGTTTTTGCTTACAAGGTCAATGTGACCTTGACCTTTGACCCCTTGACCCCAAAATCAATAGGGGTCATCTGCTGATCATGACCAATCACCATACCAAGTTTGAAGTTCCTAGGCCTAAGGGTTCTTTAGTTATTGATCGGAAACCGTTTTTGCTTACAAGGTCAATGTGACCTTGACCTTTGACCCCTTGACCCCAAAATCAAAAGGGGTCATCTACTGATCATGACCAATCACCATACGAAGTTTGAAGTTCCTAGGCCTAAGGGTTCTTGAGTTTTTGATCGGAAACCGTTTTTGCTTACAAGGTCAATGTGACCTTGACCTTTGACCCCTTGACCCCAAAATCAATAGGGGTCATCTACTGATCATGACCAATCACCATACCAAGTTTGAAGTTCCTAGGCCTAAGGGTTCTTTAGTTATCACTCGGAAACCATTTGGTCTACAGACCGACGGACCGACAAGTGCAAAGCAATATACCCCCTCTTCTTCGAAATGGGGGCATAATTATTTGTTTCATGGCTTGGTTCACCTTTTTCCAATTCATTAATGCATTTTATTAAGTCTATATCAGTTTGTCTATAAAATTTTTCAAAGCGAAAATGTGTGGAAAACAAGTTTGGAAAAAGACTGCTTCAAAACAAAAATTACCACCATCACCACACAACATATCAGGAATTGGTGGAAGCTGATAAAAGTCTCCTGATAAAATAACTTGTATGCCACCAAAACACAATTAATTTCCTCTGATCTTGCGACACACAAATTCAAAACTTTCCAAAATCAGTGGTAATAATCCTACATTTAGTTTCATAAAACCGTTCATCATTACTTATTAGGGTCAACAGTTTTTTATTACAATGACGGCCATCTTCTAACCCTGCAAAGTGGTGGAGAGTCATGGGTTCAAAATTTGGAAATTGTAAACATGCTATACCCGTGTAGCAACAAATGGTAACAGACTTCCCTCTATTTCTAAGTTTTTGTACACTTTCCTTGATGGTGAAGGATTTACCTGTTCCTGCCTGACCAACTATGACAACGTTATGGCCAGAAAGTATGGCGTTTAACAAATTAATTTGATAATGATCCATTTCCAGTTAAATTACGGTAATAAACTACGTATAACTTCGGGAAATTTTCACATCCTGTGACTGGTACCGAAATTGTTGTGGCGCTTTCAATCACAAGATAGTGCCAGGAAAATTAATACAAAAATCAAGCGTATCCAAAGGGGAAAAACTCGTACCGAACGTTGCAGCAAATGGTGGATGTCACTCCTTGTCTTTTTTTATAATACCGTAAAATTTGACCAGTTTTAAAAGAGACAGATTGGGTTCAATTGATAATATATTTTTTGAGTCCATACACTCGGATAATACTAAAAAATATTTAGATGTAGCAGAAACGTTTTTAAAGACCGTTACACGATCGAAAATATACACCGCAATCTGCGGTCCCGTTCTCGAGTTCCTATGAGTCAGAGAGGTAATAATTAGATTGATGTACTGCACTCATCCCTCAGATGGTAAGTTACATGTGTGATGTATTGTGTATTGTTTAATAGGGAAAATATGTTAATTGTGTGTATAATTCCATAAGCTATGATATTATATTTAAGGACTGTTGCTGAGTGTAAAAAACTGAATTGGCCACTAGACATGTAATTGATTATGTTCTAAATTAGAACATATTATTAAGATATAATATTTATTCATGTAATGCATTGTTTCTATCTATTTTACTTTATATTTACATATTGTTATATACTTATTTCAGAGGGTTGGTTTGTACCTACAGAATCTACTTGTTTGTACCTTATGTGATGTAACAACCTAATATTTGAAGATTGGATCATTATATAAACAAGATACAACTTTACAGAACAGCTGTTTGTTGATTTGATTTTAAAAATCCCGAACTCATTTGACCCTTAGTGGCTCGGATAATTATATTTATATTGCGCCGAACCACCACTATTACAAACATAAACTATCTAATAGTTTCCGACAGGTAATAATTTCGGCACTTGGCCCCCATATTGCCAAAATGTTTGACCACGTGATTACGAGATTGACCTTTATGAACCCATGTGCCTCCAATATTTTAATAAATTACTTTTTATAAAGATATTGAAAAGGGTGATTTACTGACTTTTATATTCAATAAAATCATATTTAAGCACTAAAAAATTAATGAAAATAAATAAAATCATTATCTTGAATAAAAATATCAAAAACATGTCAACAAAATGTTCTAAATATAGTACACGACTCTATTCAAATCTGTTCCCGCGAATGACGTCATACGAGGTCTCGTGTCGTTATGCCTAAAATACGTAAGTGAGATTTTTGACGAAAGTGAGCGAAAGTGACTTTTACAATTTGAATTGTACCGTTTTAATAGAATTTTACAGTAAAATTGCTGTTTGTAGACGTATATTATAAGCAACTTATAATATGTATTTTCAAAAATTATCACTTTGATGATTTAATCGCCATTTATTTGCATAATTCTTATACACAAGTTCTGAAATCTTCCTTTCGCCAATTGTGTACCGGACGAAACCGACGTATAGAATATTAGCGAGCTGGACAAGCTGGCCCAAAGGGCCTGCTCGCAAAGTGAGCTTTACAGCATCGCGAGTACCTGATATATGATGGTTTTGAAAACTTTCGTCCGAAGTACCGAATTGGACACATCGCAACCTTTCAAATTTAAAGATAACGATAAAAACTGAGGAATTCTGACTGAAAACGGATGTGTAGACTGGTCACCCGCGCACCTCTGTGGGAACCATAATTGGACAGGAACCAGAATAACGGAAGATGTGTGTAAAATTGTAAATTGAAGGCGCCATTTTGTTTAAAAAATCTGATAAAAAATAAACAATTTTTTGTCGAATTTTGTTGTAAAAACTATCTAGAATGAAAGAAAATGGTCTACATAAGAAAATGAATCCGACCACCAATAGCTTTTATTCAGTCGTTAACGCTGTACAGACGTTTAAAGTATTGTTTACGTAACGTCACAATGTAGCGCCAAACAGCACATGCAAAACAAACAAATCAATGACGCTATTTTAATGTCGCAAACGTTTTAAGTTTTACATTTATTTAACCTTTAATAATCTTTATTTCGCTTGAAAATTATAGAGAGAAATAAAATAAACAAAGTTTTATAAACGTTTTCAAAACTCGTTATTCATTTAACGACATGGGCGGAGGCATTTTTAACACAGTACGTGTGACGTCACACGCACTCGTCACTGCATTTGAAATAAAATTGAGCTATTATTTCATACTATTTCACGTTAAAAGTGCATCGAGCTCGCTTTGAGGCTTTGCATTTTTCACATTAATTATAGCGTTTAAATGAAACTAAATCTATAAATATTAATCCTTCTTTTACCTGATATTTCTATGAGAGAAAACTGTTAAACGAATTTTTGTGCAAGGCAATAATCTGTTTCACAAGTCGGTAATCGTATCACATACATATCCCGGGATTTTCTCCCCACCACATCTACTGTACTGTTACAATATAATGTATCGGGTCTTCAATATGTTATTTTCTTCAAAGACTTGTAAATCTATCAAATTAAACTAAATCTTTAAATATGAAACGTTCTTTTACCTGATTATTATTATTAGACCCAAGGATCCTTGTGCATGGTCTATGACGATCATTTACCAAGGGGGAGTAACTGTGCAAAAGTTTAGAGGTTTCGTACCATGGCGGAAACGTACCACTGTATTAATGTATCTTTTGGAGGTTTGGATTTTATTTCGGGTATGTGATAAAATGTTATATTATATTCGTGTATGTTCATAACTGACTTCACTTGTAGAATAACAAATATCATGCTCACAAAAGGCTCGAATAACACTCGTATAATTTTGTTCATAATTATTGTTTAATGAATTTAGTATTGAAGCTTAACTCATCCTATACCCTATTATTCATATTATATATAAATGAAGCTTTTACTTATGATTATCTTGTGTCCCAGGTTATATATACTTCATATAAATGAGGCAAAAACTCAAAGCGAGCCCTTCAGAGAAATCTTAGTTCAAATACATTTCACTACAAGTTTTAGCTTACCAAAATTCCTTCTATAGCTAGGACAACACTAAAATTATATAATATGGTTTTAAGACAGGTGTTCAGGTATAGTAGCTGTGCGATACACGGATCTTAATGAAAAGTAGAATCCGACATGTTAAACTTATGATTATGTTCATAGTAAACTTTAAAAATCCTTAATGGCCAATGATTGTGTGTATGAAATGAAAAGATAAAAAGATATAAAACAAGAAATATCTTTAAAAAAGATAATCGGCGTAAATTCAGTGCAAAATGTCTCATAGCTTTAGAATATTTTTCAAAATTAATGATATTTACACTTTATAAACAATATAAAATGTCTAAATTGAAATATATATTTGGTGGTTACTAGTATAATCTACGACAGTTGTCTAAACTTAGCTGAAAGGGAATCTTTATAAATGAAGATCTAACCAGGGCAAGATCAAACTTACTTTACCAGGCTAGACAAATAGTTAAAAGGGGCTCAGCAGAAAGTGCATGGTCTCACGATGGCACAATATTGATTAGAGATAAAGCTAAAAATGTGCGTCGTATCAACAAGGAAGATGATCTGAAGATTTTTGACAACACTAGTGGTGGGTTTGAATGGCGTCCTATTAGACAAAATGATTTGAAATGAAGTTGACTGTTCGTGTAGGTACCGTAGATTAATGAAAAAAACAAAAAAATATCGATGCGCGCAGCTTGTAATAGCATATATATAAACCAAAATCTGTGATGGTAGATAGAGGAGGAAAACCGGTTTTTTCTTGACGAATTTGTAGTACAAGAATAACACTCCACTAGTCTAGACTAAGTAAGTATAAAATAATAACCTATGATGAGATCGACATGTTTGACTTGTACTGCTTAACACTGGTTATGATAATCATTCCCTGTTATTGATTTTCTTTATGCTGATGACAAAATAAAAGCGGTGAAACATAATATTTTGATTTTTATTGGATATAATTAAACATAAAACATGAAGAGTTACTTCTAAAATGAAAGTTTTTAAAAACGTTGTAAATGATAGGACGGATCTGAGTGAGAACGGGAAGAGCACGAAAGAGAAAATAGAGATATGCACAGGCACAAGAATGTAACCGAGGGAGTAGAGTGAGCGATATTGCGCTCATACTCACCTACCCGGCTCCGCAGCCCTAACTGAACGACAGAGGATGTACAGAGTAGGGTGTGTTGAAAGAGTAGTGAGCGTGATTTTTGGTTATGTATAAGGTGGGAAGGTGGTGTGGTGTGGGTGGTGTGGTGAGATCTCTCGACCTGTCGTCGCGAGATCGTGCCTTTCTCTGTGTGGTTAGTTGCGTGGGTGTGAGTAGGTCTAGGCAGCAGAGTGGTGTGGAGTGATGGTGATGGATGGTAATTACGTGATGTGGTGTCGGATAGTAGTAGGTTGGTGTAGTGGAGATTGACTCGTGAGTTGGTGTTGTGAAGAGATGTTGTGTGTGATGGATGATGCAGTGCGTTGTGGTTAAGCGTAGCTGGATGGGGTATTATGGATGGGTGAGTGAGGTGTGTGTGAGCGTGTCGGTGGATGTGCGTTGTTCGAGATCTCTGCAAGAGGGTTAGGTGTTGGGGTGGTGTGATTGTTGTGTGTGTGTACTGATAGTGCTGAGTTGTTAGGTGGGAGGAGAAGTAGAGTAGACGAAGCGAAAATTTGAAGGACCGTATTTTCGGTTGTTCTGTTTAGTCTGCAGAAAGGAAATAAATACTTTGTAGGGAATATTATCCATCGGCCAGGCACATCGATGGATACTGGTGAGGTTCGACGATGCGCATGAGTGGTGGTTGTGGGTGTGCGTGTTGATTGTGTGGGGAAGGTTGTGATGTACGCAGGCGTGTGAGTAAGTGTGGGGGTGAAGTGTGTGCGTGGTGGAGGTGGTTGTGAGGTTGTGTGAGAGTGTAGGTGTGTGGTGTTGTGAGGAGTGAAGTTGTGAGTGTAGTGAGTGAGTTAGTGAGTGGTGTGTTGTATGTTGTTAAGAGTATGGCTGGTTGAGTGGGATGGTGGTGAGAGTGGAGTGGAGTGTGTGTGGGGTGAGTGTTGTGCGTGTGGTAGGTTGGAGATGGTGTATGTGGGATGGGAGAGTGTGTGTGGAGTGTAGGGGGAAGGTATATGTTGTATATTTGATTATTTCAATTTGCTTATTTTCTTTTCTTTGTTTTTAAGTTAAGTGTTGTTCATGATAGTTTATTGTATAATGTTTGTCCATGTTTTTTTAACTATATATGTGATTGCTAAATAAGTTAGAATTTAGACAATGAATATTAGTCTTAGATTATTCAGAAATACTGGTGCTGAAAACTTAATCTGGACATAATATTTAATATTGGATTTTTCATTCTTTTTTCACTAGGTTAAGTATACAGTATATCACAGATTTTGAAATTTATTTCTTTTATTGTTTTTGTAAGTACCTTGATGTGATTATTTTGAAGGCAACTATTGTAAGGCGTTGCGTATGTTTCTACCTTTTTGTATTGTTCATTGTGAGCAAATAGTATAGATATAATAAATAAACATGTTAATATATCCGTAATTCCAATATGTAGGTATTATTAGTAGAACTTGATACATTATTTATCTTTCGCAAGATTAAGCTTAAGCAATTTCGTGTAGACCATCAAGTTATAATCATATTGGATCTCAACCAAAACTTGTCACGAAATAGTTACATTTGTATCGACAATAGAGATCTTTATTTACTTCATGCTAGAATATCTGTATATAAGATCACGACAAGTCTTACTGTGTTAAAGACGGTTGTAATGAATTTTCTTTTTCTATTTTCTTTTATTTTAACATTATTGTCATTTGTAATAATACAGATAACTTCAGAAGTCTCTTGGGGATAATATGTGTTTTTGGATATCAAACGTTTCTGGAATGATATAGCTACATCTACTCACTGAGGTGCTGTTGTCTTTTTTTTGCTTTGCTACCTGAAATTAGCCATTTATAAATGAAAAAACATAGAACTAATGGTCCTGTATGTCTGAACTGTAACAGAAATTTTTTTGTTTCGCTTATGCAATTAATTAATATCCTTTTATTCAATATCTCCGTTTATTAATATGTAAGTGTATGTATGTTGTCAGATAAATTGTACCATAATAAAAATAAAAGTTAAGGTTGTTTTCTTCAATAAAAAGTACTCGGAGAACTGGTGGAAGTTATCAAGGCTTGGTATTCTGCGTCTCGTTTGACGAAACTTTATTAATGGCTTTAATGTTTTACTAAACAATGTGTGGGATATTCATCCAGAATGCCGGGACAGAGTATCTCGATTCTTTCGTCGGGTGGAGTGGATCAGTTCTTTTTGCTTGATATCTCAATGATTTTTTTAGATTGTTCAAAATATCTTGACAGTATGTGTCATATGATGTTTCAGGAGCAGGTATTTGCTAAGCTGAGCTGCTTTATGCTGGAAGGCTAAGTAATCTGATAGGTCTTGGGGGGCGTTTGACAGGGGAAAGCTGGTAGGGTTGACGCTCGGGTGTCTGGGACAGTGGATCTCGTTGGGTTTGCTGATTCGGCATGAACCAATTGAAAAGGATGACGAGAGGAGGTAGTCTTGGGGTGTGAATGGTTGGGTGGAGGAGTCATTGAAGAGTGTGTGAGTAGGAGTGGGAGTTGAGCTATCCATCTAGAATGCTTGCTCGAACGCTCAGATTGTTAGCGGTAAGAAGTTTGTTTGGCGTTTTCTATCGGCCTATTTGATATTTTATTATTTTCTTAATTGAAAGATTCTTGGATAGCTAGAATACTGGCATTTCAGATGTGAACTTTAAAGGTGTTTAATTTTGAATATGATCCAGACTTTTCGAAGTACAAGCAATTTGTTTAACAAGGACTACCGCAATCATTGATGACACACCTTTTAGAATTTTCGTCGGAGGGCTTATTGCTGTTTTTACTACAAATGATGTTATAAGGTGGGGTTTGGTGATGCCGTTTCTGCAGCAACAAGTCCGGATATACTGCATCTTTGCCTGTTTTATACCTAATAAAACCAAGCTAAGTTCTTTTGATAGAATGTAGTGGCTCTATGGTAAGAACTATTGACTTGCTGGTAGAAGATGAGTCGTGTTAACTGGACGGAATTCAAGAATGAAGATGATTGATACTTTGTGACATTTACACATAATAATAACATATAAACTTTGTATTGCAACATGTAAATCGAAGCCTAATGCCTCGCGTTGGATGAACATTTCAAATTAAACAAAATAAGACAGAACGTAAAGCGCGTAACAGAAAAGCAGAAATTTTCAAATCAACGTCATTGGTTAAGAATTTGAAACTCGAATGAAAGCGTTGCTAGTAAAGACAGCAATCGGTCGTTACTTCTTTCATTGTCTGACAATCTTAAATAACTTCGATATCATCAAGATGGTAGGAAATCTAAATCTTCATATATATTCAGCAAAAAAGGTATTCTTTCTTATTGTCATTACTAATTATTGTATCTGAGAGTTGAAAGGCTATCAGTAACCATTTATTTTCGAAAGAACCAGAAAATAGGTGACGACATCTACAGGGATCCCCAGACTAGACATAGACATCAGAGCTTGGAAAGATTTATATATCTGCTCATCTGAATTGA